GAGCATTAAGAGCTTGATGAGAATGAACTAGCACCCACCCCATCCAAGCATCTCAGTAGTCTACCTTATTCATATTCTTCTTCTTGTCTTTGTCCATTCTTTTGGATATTCCTAAAAAGCAACAAGTTGAAAAACCTTTTAATGAGTTCCAAGAAACTTTCCAAACCATGAAAAGTGGTTCAACTTTATTTTAGTTCACAATTTGAAAACTGGAACAGCAGAGAGAATCAATGATCAATTATGTGCTCATAATTTGTTCTTTCAAGTCAGCAATTTATAGCAGAGTATGAGGTAAGAGATTAAGCTTACCTTAGTAACAGCAAAAGGAGAGGAAGGAGCAGCAACAAAAGCAGAGGAATGGAATCCAATGATCAATTATGTTTTCTACTTTTCTCACTTCAAGTTCCAATTGCTTGATCATATCTCTCTGATAATGCTTGGTAAGCTCTATAAAACTCCACCAAGTTTGAGATCGACACCAGTAAATAAGACAAGTTATTCTGCATCCATCCTTCAGGGGGGAAACAAATACTTCATCAACCAGGACTTGGGTCACAGTAAGAGAAGAACGATGTTAATAAGAGGAATTAGTTACCTTCCACAGTCTGAACATTTTATCTTTTCAAGCAGCAGCTAGAGTTGCATAATTACTTGCACCACCAAATAATAACATGAATTATATGTCTGTATCCGTACCAACCATAAGAAAATATGATAAAGGTTAGTACTTACTTTTCACAAACGAACTTAAAATTGCACAAACCATATTGACAAAAGAGAAGGGAAGAAAAGCTTATTACTATGCTGCTCATTTCCATCCAGTCAAAGTGTGGAAGTAGCTTCCAAAACCATGCCATCCAGTCAAGATGACCCTGCAACACATGCACAAAGGAAATTAGTTAACAGTCGAATCAACTTATCAATAACAGAGGGACTGCCTCATTGACATTCCAATCCAAAGATGAATACGTGACTCTATTACAGATAATGGAGAGAAAATAGATGCTCTCCAATACTAAGCACCAAACATCCACCCCAATGATGGTTGCTTTGGATAACAGTGGCAGCCAGGAAGTCAGCATCTCCAATTTCATAAAACACCACTGCACCTTCTTGCTACCCTTAATCTTGTATACCCCCAAGGCTTTCGCATGCTTGAACAAGAATGCTGCTAGTCAAGCAAAAACAACAAGAACTAGCATCAGGGGCAGCGCTCATCCATACTCAAATATTTTTGAACAACCACTAGCTAGCACTACCAAAGCTTCTTCTTCTAAGTCACATATTCTTTCTATAACGTAAAGTTACAATGATACCCACAAAATTGGACTTATGAATGGTCGAGTTTGAGAAATTGGGGTTACCTTAGACTTTAACCAACGACCCTGTAGTCAAGGTTCATCCGATAAGGCCAGACAAGAGACCTTGAAAGCTATTTCCCAGCTCCAAACGGCCTCCTTCACGCACCCACAAGCCGCTACCTGCTGAACTAGCCAGAGGAGCTCACCAGCTAGTTCTCGATAGAACAAGCCCCCATCCCCAACCAAACGAACCACTTTCACCGCTCGTTTCAATTTTTACAGGACAGCCTGGCCAGCTCTGCCGTTTCTGCTCCTATCCAGCCCTAATTGACTAATGGCAGCTCCAAACTGGGTGATGAACCTCAAAACGTCACTGAAAGAACCGTACTGTTGGTCTCGTGGAGAGCTTCGACGTTCACGGTGATTGTCATCAATCATCTTCTCCGCCAGAGACCATTCCTCTTCGTACGTCTGTGAGCTCAGCGCAAATCATTCGCGATAGCTGTGACAACGCCCAAACGATGCTCGAATCGCAACCTACGGGGACAGAAGGTCTAAGCACATGTGGTAATTGGAAATCTCCATCAGCGGTGCCTTCAGCCGGTGAAGCTTTGGAGAAAGAAATGTGTGAATCGAGAGAAGGAAACAGCGAGGGAATCAAGCGGAGTAAGAAGGTTAGATTGAGAAATTGAAATTAGGGTTTGAAAAAAATCCTAAAATGAGGGAACTAGATAGATCGAACTTCTCCAAATCTTACCTCGGTTCAGATTTTGGGAGGAAGGTGGTTGCAGCTAAGGTCCCTATGGCAGAGATTGATGGCAATGGAGAAGCAGCTCAGATCTCCTTCGCAGGCGTCGTCAATGGCAAGTCGGAGAAATTCATCGTCTCCTCTGGAAATCACTCGCACTTGCTATGAAATCTGTAAATTAGATATCTGGGCATTCTTCAATCTCTCTCTCTCTCCCTTTTTATGATTCTCTCTCTACGTTTCTCTCCAGAGGAATCACGAAAATAATCAAATATTTCAAAATAAAATAAAGAAAAAAGCTCAAATTAATTGTGGGCCCTTTATGGGTGAGGAAAAAATAAGATTTCATTTCCCCACGGTCAAACTGGCCGTCCATCTCGCCGTCCGAAATGTGTATATATCGACGGTCGCGATCAGATGTCATTAAGTCACCGTCACTATTACTTAATTTTCTTGTAGTGATGGAATTATGACTGCTTCTGTGACCACCAGAATGATGCTTCATCAAACACCAAATTGAGTGACACATAACAGTTACCTGCTATTGGGTCACAGCGGCTCCATCCTTTCTGCTGGTTTTCATGCCCACGATATTCATGCATTATGGCCCAAATTTTGTTTAAAAAAGGGTGATATAGGTCTAATTGATTTAGGTGCTAATTAAGGGAATCAAACCTTAGATCTCTAGATTCAATGCTAGTGGTATTACCAGGAAACAAAACTCTTGTTTGTCATTAGGACCAAAGTTTTGTTGGAACATTTTTTGCATGTAGCATGATTCTGCAAATGTCTATCAAGTGAAACTTGCTCCTCTTAGCTACTCCATTCTAACTTGGAGTATTTAGGTAGATCAATGAACTTCGTATACGGTTCTCCTTAAGAAATTGTGGCATATGTTTGAGGTGTACTAATGCATAAAAAATTGAGCTTTACAATTTATATTTCGTCAATACTACTAACTACTCAAATCTAAGAAAAGTACGTTTTAGATTGACAAATTAATATAATGATGACCAATATCGTATTCCTTAAGAAATCCAAGTCTACTACTACTCTCGGTTTCAATCTACTATCAGGTCAAATGAGATGGTTGGCGTTTGAATGTGAACTAAACGAGAATGAAATTTACAATTATTTTCAAATTTACAAATACATAATTTGCTGTTTATAAAAAATCTTAACAAGTTGCACACAGACCACGCCCGCTTGACTTTTCCTTTAAATTGATGGATAATTGGATAAATTAATAGATAAATTATTCGTTGAACTATCTCTCTGCCATTGGTGTTTTTCTCCTTCCATAATTCATCCTTTTCCTTCTTGCATTCATCGCCGGCCGATCTCTCTGCCGGCCAACGTTCCGATGGATGGTTCTGGCAATACTCTCCAACAACGCCGCTTCCGACCTGCTTTTGGCAAAAGTGAAAATGATTACATTTCAGATAATATCCCTAGCTAATTATTGGTGGTGTTAACAAGACTTTGGTTTGCACGAATTTGTACCTCAACGTAATCCATATGATCATCAATTAATACTAACAAAGAAAATGCATAAATCGTTGCAAAAGATACGATTTACTGATATTTTAAGCGTGCTAACATCTAAGACATTTTAGATATACCCCATAAACTCTCATATAATGGCCATTGTACGAGTAACTTTTGAGTAAAAATGCATGTAATTTTGATTTATGTAATTGTATTAGTCAAATGTTAAAATAAATTGTAAAATTATGTGATGCAGATCCTAATTTTAGAGGTGGGTGTACATGTAACTAAAAATATATATATGTTGAATAAAGAGTAAGTATGAATTTTTTAAACACTCTAAAAATGAAATCAAGGTATATGTTTGAACGTGCTCATTTTTTTGTTTTTAATTTCCCTAGGGTTATCCATTCGATTCTGAAGGGCCTATTGTTATATACGATGTGAACTAAGATGAATTATTTTTGAAATTATGTCGTTTAAGATTTTCTTATAAAACTTAAATTCATGTGGACTCGTTGGATATTTAAAACCTAAATTTAAAATTATCCAATCAAAAAGTGATGTTAGAAACACTTGAAATTCGAAAATATCAAAATATTGAAGTGGAAACAATAAATTGACATTTTAGTCAAGTTAAATTAAATAAATGGTAGTATTATATAAGATTTGTTTTGGTGCACTCATTTTTAGTTAACGTGTACGGATGAGTTGCTATTTTAGTATATATCATTGTGTTAGTAAATATTTTCTAACAATTTACTAACAAGTCTACTTTAAAGTTGGGTTTGTTCTCACAAAAAAAAAAAAAAAAAAGAAGATGGGTTTGTCATAATCTGATTTTGATGCAACTATATATTTTTTAAAGTTATTCTAGAATCTCAGATTTCCTACGTCTTAGGATCTCCATACTCTGTGGTTCTAGCAAACTCCAATATGCCAGAAAACAAATTTATTGTTCTTTGTTTCTTGTATATGGATGCTGTAAGATTCCATCCAAAAAGAATCATGCTGAGTAATACATTTGTCAGTTATCACTACCATGTGTTGTTCTCCGTCAATCCTCGCCTCGGGTCTTAGTTTACAATTCCTCGCTACATTACTGTCGGTGAGGTGCTTCTTCCAATATATATATATTAAAATTAATAAACTCAACTTGTGTACTTTATATATATGTTTCACATTTTGTAATCTACCGAGAGAAATAACAGGCTCATGACTCGTTAATTTTGACCATAAATAGATTTTGTTTGTTAATTTATATATCCCTGTATTATTCTGACAATCTTTCTACGTTCACATCAACAACCGGCTAATCAGTACTCGTTAATTTTTACCATCAATAGTACCCATGTATGTATTAAACGTGTATTTAACACATACGTTGAAGGATTATATATATAGGTGGCTACTTTGGTACACTCACTTTTTTTGTGCATTACTCCAAAAGTGGTATTAATACATAAAATTTTGAATTTTAATTGCCAGCATTAGTATAATATGATGATATAAAATAGAATCACTACTAATCAGTCCATTACCCTAACCCCTTAACCTTCAATTTTGAATTCCAAACCAAAACCCCAAAATAAAAACCAAAACCCTAACCATAAATCCCTAAACCTTAAATCCTTCAAATTAAAATAAATCTTAAATAATTTCCGTACGAATTCATGTGTTTCTTATTCATAATATCATAAGCGATGATTGATACCGTTTTGACACGAATCACATGTTCAGAATGACGATTATGAGGCGAGTGCATTGAATGCACACAAAAAAGTGAGTGCACTGAAAACACCACCACATATATATACATATATATAGTTATGTTTTTGGTGAACTCACTTTTTTGGTACAATCAATGCACCCGCCTCATAACCGTCATTCTGAGCAGGCGATTCATGTGAAAACTATTTCAATCATCACTTGTGGTATGATGAACAAGAACCACATGAATTTGTACAAAAATCATTCAAGATTCACTTTAATTTGAATGATTTAGGCTTTAGAAATTTATGGTTAGGGTTTACAATTTTGGATTTTGGGTTGGGATTCAAAATTGAAGGTTAATAGGTTAGGGTAATGGATTGATTATTTGCGAATCTGTGTTATATCGTCATATTAGACTAATGCTACCTATTAAATTTTAAAATTTGATGTATTATGACCATTTTTAGAGTTGGGTGCATTCAAAGTGAGTGTACCGAAGTAGGCATCTATATATATATTTATTTATTTATTTATTTATTTTGAAATTATAAAATTCGATTATTTTATAACATATTCGGAACTTTTATGCTCAATATTATTCTGCAATGACCGATCACCGATGAAACCCTAAACTAAAATAAGTGAACTATATACAGACCATACTTCTTTAACCCCTAACAGTAGAATTTATACGTACGAAAAAAACAAAAGATGTGAGTAACCCTCAATCTACGATAAAGCAAATCAAGTCAATTAAGGAATGATAAAGTAAAGGGTTATAGGTATAATAATTAATATCTCTATAATACAGTTTTATAGTTTTATTATGAAACATGCTTTATTATTTTTTTACATCAAATATGAACGCATACTTTGAAAAGATGATCAAATATGCCAGTATGTTAAAATTTCATAAAAAAACAGTAACACGGTCGAACTTTATTTGAGCAACACAAGTGTAAAAAATATACATAAAAATTTCACTATAATATTTCTTTATATTTCTTTTGTATAGCCCAATACCTTCCCCTTTAACGAGACATAGAGAAATAAATAAAGAGACAAAACCAATATTTTCCCTCTCATTTTGCCGTTGTCATGTCGCTTGAATATCGATTCAACCGTGGTTGACTATTTTTGGGTCAAAATTTTGGCAAAAGTACCGTGTTTGCTAATTATTCAAAGTGCAGGAACATGATGTTAGAAATAGTGTGTAGACATGTTGATAAAAATGTTTAGTAGAAGGGTATATTACATCGTAAGTAAATTTGATAGATCTTCCAAATGAATTTCATATACGACATCTTTTTTTTTTTTGGGTAGAAATACATAGTATCTTCTAAAATAATTATGATGAATTTGGGCACGGAGGAAAAAGTGTCCGAACTAGTTCTGGAAGAATATTATAACAAAATTTAATTTCAGCATTCGAACGTCAAATGACTAAATTTACCTGAAGAAAAATTCTTGGTTAACGTAAACAGTAAATAAATTAAGAAATAGACGTCACGTGACAACATGCATGCATGGATTTACGTAAGGTTTCCAACTATCCATAGAACACGACAACAAAACATGCATGCATGCATGCATGCTTTCACGTACATACGTACTGCAGGTTAGTGACGACCCAGCCGGCAACGCCGACGACCCACGCAAGCGCCTGAATCCAGCCGTCCACTCTCTCATACGTGTACCGCCTCTTGTGCCGATCGAAGTCATCCTTGTAATAGCAGCCGACGTCGGACACATCGTCCGGCGACAGATGGTAGAAGATCGGGAAAGTAGTGTTATTCCCACCGCCGCCGCCACCGTTGTGGTTGTCCCTACTAGAGCAACGCATGATTTTCACAAGCTCATCCAAACACCACGCCGAGGAAGCGTAGTTACGCGTCAAAACGACGACGTAGAAGCTCGAGCCCTCGATGGCCCGCGAAATGCCCTCCCTCACGCTCTCGCCGCGGCCTAGGTCGACGTCGTCCTTGAACGGCCGGACCCTTTTCCGGCGAAGCGCGGCGTATAGATGGTCGACGAATGTGTTTCGGACGTCGGAGCCGCGAAAGCTCAGGAAGACATCGTGGGAGCTGGCCGCCGGTGGTTTCATCGGTGAATGGTTGTGTTAATTTGGCAGAGGTATTGAAAGAATTGATTATCTAGTATAGTATATATATAGAAAGTATGACGGCGAGGGGTTCATGAATGTGACACTATGTTTAATTTACAACTGGCCGCCATTTGTGGCCGTTGTTTAATTATATTATTTTATTATTAACTAGGTAATCAAGGACTTTTTTGGCCGACCACATGTATGCTGACTGGACAAGCTAGTTTGATATTTATAAAAATAATGAGTTGATGAGCTGTTGGCACCGTTGGGATATTGTTTTCTTAACAAAGCGTGTGGAAATAACTGTCTAAACTACAAAATCTGTATGTTCAAGCAAGGGATGGGATTAGGTGCTAACCTTTATAAGGGTTAGCACCGTGATAACTAGCAAAAATCACTACGGATTATTATAAAATCAATACAACATCTAAGCTAAATCACTACTAATTCAAACTAGTAGTAGTTTTTCCCTTGGTTAGGACTGTGCTAACTATTGTACAATTAGCACCGTAACCCCTCCCGTTCAAGCAACAATACAAATTTATTTTCAAGCAACAGTACAAATTAATCTGACAAATTCACTGTTATATTGATTTTTATTAATTTAATTATTACTTTTATTTTTATGGGCTTACACACCTATCGCAAAATCTTAGGTTCGCCACTGATCCAGTCCGATTTAACCTGAAAGGTTTTATTACCTTATTTTAATTTATGTATCGTTTGTTTTTTGCTCGGTACTACCAATTAATCCCATTTTTTAACACGATTCATAAATTCAATTGACCAATCACGGAATTCTGTCACCAACTTACTATTATGGGATTGATTAAATAAGAAAATCCTTAATATTTAAAACAAAATAAGGTGATCATACCCATAAAAATAGTTTATCATAAGTATTATTCATGGTGAGAAGAAAACCTATGTTTGTTTCTATGGAAAATCAAATAACGACTACTTGTGTTCTCCCACATTTATGGCCCCTTTGGAATGGCTGAATTGACAATGGATGGATATCCGAAAGATTCCACTTGGAATGCTTTTCATTGACCTAGATTCTTTTGCAGTCTTCTGCAGCCGTCTACAAAACACCTAAAAGAAAATATTGTTTTATTTTGAGATTCGGAAAGATCGAGTTGAGGGGCCATGGAATTTTGTGTTCTAGTAAGATAGTTTATGCTTCTTCACTCTTTAGTGCTCTTTAGCCGCACTCATCAAAAAGTTCACATAAACAAGGGTTAATCAATGACCATTTTAGTCTGCTTGCTTCGGTTACTAAACGCGCTTTCTGGCGGCGGAGCCAAAATTCTAAAGGTATTCCTAAAATAAAAAAGTTGGTCGGAGACGGAGACGATGGAGGGATTGTCCAGTTGCTAGGGTTTTGTGGGATTATGCGGGGCTGGAGTATCTTGGCCAAGGGTTACCTCGGTTTACTTTCCGCCTATTCCTTAAAAAGCTACTGTAGCTTATCCACCAACCTCAGTTGGTAATGGCCGTTGTTGCTATCCTTTGGAGAATTTGGCGGTCTCGTAATTGAGTTGTCTTAGAAGGCAAGCAATTTGGGACCCCAGCCCTTATGAGGCAGTATCATAAGCAGTACCATGAATGGATATGTTTACCTACCAGTAGGGTGCAGCGGGTCCCTCCCGCGGTTAATCAAATTGCAGGGGATACTGCTCCCCCTTGTCCGTTTGTGTGTCGATGGGATGGGGCGGTTAAGTTTGCATCCCACTCGGCCGGAGGAATGGTTGTTATGGACCAGCCGGGGATGGTTTTGATGGCTAAAGGGTTCCATTTTGCTGGGATTGATAACCCTTTGCTTGCTGAGATCCTCTCACTCTGGGAAGCGATTCTTTGGTGTAGCGGGATTGGGTTTGACCAGATGCGGTTTGAAGGGGACGCGAAGACGATTATTGATAAAATCAACCAAGCGGATACGAGGGATAGCCGGGTTGGAGCTCTCCTTTAAGATGGTCTGAATTGTTTATCTAACCATAGTGGGTTCTCTGTGCGGTTTGTAGATCGACATAGTAATAGGGTAGCCCATTTGGTGGCTAAAAAGGCCCTTCATTTGTATCTGACTGCGAGTCGCTTCTTTGATTTTATGGTCTGGCTAAATTTCAGAATGTGACTGTCTATTTTCTGATCAATATATGATTATCTTTTGTAAAAATTAAAAGATCGAGGCTCATCACAATCTCTTCTTCCGCTTCGGCTACTTTAATGAAATTGTTGGGCCAATTTTGCTAAACTTTAAAAGATTTGAATCTACGAACTACATGTTCTACATTAGTGTTGTTTCCGAGCGAGAATTTTTTTTGTTTGAATTCAATAAATGCACCTTTGACTTCTTGAACAACAACAACAATACGGTTCACACCTCTCCGAACATTGTTCGAACAAGCGTGTTTGATGTTTTTGATGGTTTTTTGGGAACAAGCTACGTCAATTACTCCTACTCCTATGGAGGTTCAATGAGCGCTCCAAAAACTAAAGGTTATAGCTAAATTGCAGAGAAAGGATAAATTTTTGACTTTGTGCGTCAAATGTTTTGTGGAACCCGTTTACAATCTTAGTTTCTCCTATTTATAGCCACTAGATGTAACTGTCTTAGTAACCGCCTTGGTAACTGCTAGCTGACCTCTTGCTCCAGACTGCCGCGAGGTCCTCATTGTTGCCTTGTTGACCAGTTGGTAACTATCATTAGGGTGGCTTGGCATAAGGCCTGATGAGTTGACGTCCATCTTGTCGCCTCGTCTTGACTAGAAAGGGTTGGGACCTCCTTGTCTTAATTCCATCACATTGGCCATCCCATCGGGCCTCCTTCGCGACCCTAGCAGCTCTGATGATTCCATACTTAGCTCATTTGATGTCTTCGTAAAATCTTCATCTCATTATCTTGTTAGCCAGACCTTGTAATCACCCTGATACCTTGTCGTCTCACTGACTTGACACCCCCTTCTACCAAGCCAACCCCGTCGGCTTGGTCTCCATACTTAGTTTTTGATATCTCATCAAGTTGGTGATACATACTTAGTTTAATATCTATACTTAGCTTTTGGGAGGTTTGATAACTTGATAACAAACTTGTCTTGCTGGCTTGATACCTTGTTCCCTGGATACCAAGCCTGCCTTGCCGACTTGGTGTCCATACTTAGTCATATTTCACATCTCTCTACCAAGGCTGCTTTGTTAGCTTGATACCCTGTCGTTTGGCTTCCTGTTGCTATGGGATCCCATACTTGGCCAAATTTCATGTTGTGGTACCAGGCCTGCCTTTCCGGTTTGGTACCTTGTTGGCTTAATACTTAGCCAATTTTCATGTCTCTTGTAGTAAACAAATGTCCCCTACTACTTAGTGCATAAGGATTATGGGCTAAGTAGTTTACACCAACTATGCACAAAACTCTCATTGGCTTTATAAATAAAAACCAAACCATTAGAACCCCTAACCACCCGTACACACAGCGACTAACCATAACTTTTGAAATCGCCATAAGTTACCAAGTCGGTTTAGTTAAATTTTCCTTAGCCAAAATATTGGCTTTAAGTTACATAGACCACCACGTTTCACTGCCTGAATTTAATAAGCTATAAGACTAGGGTGGCTATACGGTCCAGTCTGATTAAATTGGACCGAATTAATCTGTTCCCAATCCAGTCTTTTTGAAAATATAGGGACCAAAGTTGGATTGGGTACATTCTGGTTTTGATCCGGTCCGATTTTATCTCAGTCCGGTCCTAATCCAATTTTGACTTGTTTTACCCATTTTGACCATGTTGCAGAACGGAGGGAAGTTGGCGCGCGGTCGGAGAGGAGATGTCTGAATGGAGCGGAAGGTCGGAGGGAGGTCGGCGTCGGTCGATGTGTCGGAGGGATTGGTTTTAACCCAGACTAGATTGGTCTGGGTTTTTTACTAATTCTAGCACCAAAGACGGGATTGGATTGTTTTACATTCGGTCCCGATCTCAATTGGTCCGGGTTTATACGGTCCAGGTTCGAGTAAAATTAAAAAACTGGAACCAAATAACCAGCCCTAGGAAAAACACTGAGGCTAACATACATGGCTATGCAATTGAGTCACCTAATGGCCAAACCAATCTCGTCCCCACTTATGCAAAGCCTACAAAAACCCTAGGAAGAAAATCCGTTTCCTCCAAAGATTCGGCCGTTTGGCCAAATAAATTATTATTATTATTAATTTATTTTAAGTTACCCATCCAGTCCCCAGCGGAACAACTGTGTATCCTCTAAGGGTGGCTATACGGTCCGTTCCGGTTAAATTGGCCCAAATTGATCCGATCCAGTCCGGTCTTTTTGAAAATATAAGAACCAAATATTGGATTGGATACAGTCCGGTCTTGACCCGGTCAGGTCCCAACTCCGTCTTGATTTTATATTGAGCTTGTGGGGATTCGAGTGGACTAAGGCCTGAAAGGGTGAGGAGTTGGTTAAGTTTTGTACTAAGTGCAAAGGTTTGTGACCGTTTATGCAAATTACCCTTAAGTTTTGGGTGTTGAGCTCTCTTATCCAGTCTTTATCCAGTTTTCGATCCGGTCCCGAACAGTTTTTTACCTCAAGTCTAAGCCCAAAGATTGGATTGGAGTGTTTACTATCTGGTCCCGGTCCGGGTTATACTGTTCGATTTCGGATAAAACCAAAAATCCGGACCAAATAGTCAGGCCTAATATCCTCAGTCGGCCTGATGGCCATTATTTTTTTTTTCTTTCAGTCGAATGGGGACTACTGGGTGGAAAATAATTTCGATCTCCTTCTCGGCTTGTTGTTTGTCAAGTAACCCCGTACCATTACTCTTTTTGAGTTTTTTTTAATAAAAGAATGCATTTTCCTTACCTTATATGGTAATGACTCTTAATTTTCTTTTACTTGTGGGATTCCACTTCAATAAAATCTTTTCCATAAATGAAAATATTCTCTAAATCAAGTTTTCCCCAACTCTATAAATAGAGACCACCCCCTTACATTCTTCACATACTTCAACACACAAAATTCCACCAAGAGCTCACAATATCAACGTGGTCTCCAAGCAAGCAAAGCAAGGTGAGAGAAGAAGTTCTCTATCTCCACTAATGGCCGTCGGCCATCCATTTTTTTCCTATTAATGTGGTCTTTTTTTTGTCAGTTGATGCATGGAGTGGTAGGCCAAACTAGGCATGCCATGTCTTATCATGACCAAGTCTAATCATACATAATCGTAATTTTGTAAGATGGCTGACCCCGAGTATGAAAAGGAGAGGATGATAGCTACACGTGAGTACCGCAAGGAGTTCAAAGGGCTAGAAAAGCAAAAAGGAGTTAAGATGGTCTATTTGGATGTCAAAGACAATGGAGTTGGCATGCTTAGCCCCTACATCCTTCACCAGTGGCGGCGACGAGCTAATCTACAAGGCCAACCCAAAAATCATCATCATTCTTTCACCTCACCGGACAAAGAAGCTGATCAGGTCATGGCCCCATCAAGACCCTATGTACAACAGTTGGTATAATAGTCTGAAGAAGGATAATGAGACCATCACCCTTTGGGCTCAAGTTCGAATTGATTGACTCATTCATCTAATGACAGATATTAAGGACCTCGAACCATTTACGGTTGGCTCCTTCAAATTTACAGAGATTAAGAGACCAAGAATAAATATCCTCATTCACGGGTTGCTCCTTCAGCTATCTTCATAGCCAATGCAATCCGGATCCCTCTAACCCTGTCACCCATCAAGAGCGAGCAGGATTCCTTCACTATTGGCTATACAAGTTTGTCATTTGTCTTGGGACCCTAAGCCCCCATCAAGGTCTCTCAAAAGTATCTCATTACCTCGCTGATGGGTACGTGGAATATGACCTTGCAGAGATCATTCTTGGCCACCTCTACCATGACATGCACACCTTGTTTGACCAAGTTACTTTCGGTACCACCATCATGGGTTCCGGCCCCCTTTGGTTGGTGCATCTATGGCTCCAAGCCTACTTCCCAATGTTTCGGAAGGAGTTGCCCGCTATGAAGTCTGTAAGCCGAAAACATCTTCCGCTTACTTATGGTAACTACTACAACCATTCTGTGTCCTTAGGAAAGAAATTTGAAGAATGCTTCTCCATCTTCTATGGTCTGAAGTCTCTTGATAGCTTCACCCCTTTAGACCCCGTCTCCTTGGTCCACCATCATTCACAAGGACTTTCAAAGTGAGACCCAAAAACAAAGATGAACGTGATGAATATCGATGTTTGTGCTCCAATGGAAAGATTGGACTTGGGCACGAGACCTTATACTCTTCCCCGTGGGGCCGAAAACTAGACACGTTCACCGAGGTTTACAACCCACACTTCGCGGCTCGTAAATTTGACCTCATGCAAATGTGACCATTATCTCTGCTGCACTCACCCAACTTTGCAGCACCCATGAAACGTAAGTCTTGAAGGCATAAGAGGTGGACAAGTTGATGATGTGGTAAAGTATACAAGGGGAGACCACGAAGTTAAAGTGTTTTGAGCCAAGGAAGGATGCATTGTCCCAGGTCTTTCAAATGGTATTTCCAGGCAAAATGGAGAACTTGAGTCTTTTGATGGTTCAGCCCCCGTCATAGCACCAAGGTTGCTTGACAATGTTCCAAAAAACAACAGTTCGGAAGCCATCAACTCCAACAACCAAGGCAAGAGTGTAAAAGAAACCGACCCCTCCTCCATCACTTCCAAGGCTAAACGACGAGCATGTAAGCTTCCTCCCTCTCAAACTCTTTGTCATTCTTAGAATTTTCCCCATATCTTTTGAGTTCACCTACAACTTTGTTTTCAAATGTAGGTCTTAGTGTAGATAGCCCCCCAGATATACCAAGCACAAGGTTTCTTTAAAGGATCTACCAGTAAGTGCTAAACCATCTTGCTAGTTCATCTTCCTTAGATCAATACCCTAATAAGAATTTTCTTTAAAGTCTTTGTCCTCAGTTGAGAGCGAGGAAGAAAACCTCCCTAGAGACAATGTAGACGACAGGGGTTAAGACGATGAGGGCTCGAAGCTAGTAGATGACAACTCCGCCGATGAGGACCACCCCATAACAATATCTTCAGATTCAAACACTAATACTGAGCCTACATGGCCCAACTGAATGGAGATTCCGGACAAGGCACCTTCAACCCTATAACCCCAACCATCTCCTTTGTCTATCCATGAAGATCTCATCCAGCTGAAGGATTCAAACCTCTCATCGTCAAACTTGGCAGTGACAAGTGGATCCCCTTCAGGTTCGATCAACCGAACGATTGTACCTCGCACTTCATCATTCGGCCCTCTTGGATTTGGAATTCACACTCAGAAGCTTCCCACCTTTACTGCTCCCATGCCATCAAAATGTGCACCTTTCCAAGTGCCGGCGACCAACTTGTTCTCTTCAAGCCATCAAACCAACGCGTCCCACCTAGCTATCTTGGAGAACAATCTCTTTAATGATTTGGAGGATGGCATCGGAAACAAGCACATGGAGAGTACCCTCAATGTCAATGACTATCAACACCCCACCGAGTACCATGATACCCATCGTACTTTACAAGGATCTAGCACTGGACCATCCACTATCAACATGGCTGAGACCGAGCGGGATATATTATCTTCCTCTACCACTCTAGAATTCCAAACTACCACCAGTGGCACTATCCCAACCCTGGTAAGCACCACAACCTACTCTCATCTTTTTTATATATAAATAGGCTTGTTAATAACTTAATTAAAACCATTGCAGTATCTAAGTTCACTCGACCACAGCTTCGAGCTCCTCCAAAACTTAGAATCACTTGGTAAAGAAGCCCAACTCGTTGCCCCCTCTTCTGAAGCCATATGTGCTGCCCTTCTTGAGCTGGACCGCTACCTCTCACTCCTAAGCAGGCAATCTTAGCCAAGACTCACTGGCCTACCCAAGCTCTTGAATCACTATGCAACCTTGTTGTGCTCAAATCACTGCCAGGACTGGACAAGAATAAGATGTCCATTTTACAAGCCGCCGGGAATAGTCTCTGATTCAACACATCTGCAATAGAGAAGGCCATCCATCAAGAAAACCAAGTTGTTAACAGGGAATCCATACAAGCCAACTACACCAAAATGACTGCTGAATGCAAGACTATGAAGGATGACCTTATTGGTTTCAAAGCAAGGGAAGCAGCTCGCCAAACCAAGATAGCCGAACTCGAGAAAGAGCTTGCCCAAGTTCGTGCAAAGGCTGCCAAGGACCAAGCTCAACATGTCGACATGTCTCAAATCTTCCAACAGCTAGTGGGAGAGGCTCTTAGCCTCAAGGAAACAATGGGTTGAATGACTCCTATGGCATAGCTAGCTCACGAGAAGGAACAAGCCCTCTTTGTGTACAAGACTCATCATGCTACCTTCCTCAAGCTACGGGATATTGTCAAAGAGGATCTCTGCCACATGCCTGGCTAAATCATCCATACTTCATATTGTTTTTCTTTTTCCTTTGGCTCGCTTTTACGATTTGAGACATTCAGCTTAGCCATGGATTTGGCTTTTATTTTTCCTCTTTTGGTTTTCATATGACTCGACCCTTTAGTGCTTGCCCTTGGCGGGATGTTCTTTTCATTGCCTTA